CGTGGCTGGCGCCTTAGCCGGTTGAGCTATAGGCGCCGAGCCAGAACCTTTACTTCTAATAAACATCCCCAGGGATTCTGACTCCACGGTTCCATCATAGGTCTGTGCTTCCACAAGCAGTGAAGTTTTACTTTGATTAGATATAAAATAGTTTAGGGAGGAATATTAGACTAGAAATCAGAAAATCTGAGTGATAGGTTTGTCACTAACTTCTACTACTTGTCTTTGGGCAAATTAATGTCTCCGTGCCTCAGTTTTCTTAAATGCTTAATGAGGATAATAATGTCTACCTCATGTACATGCTAATTTATGCACAAGTGACTTCAGAGAATGAAGCGCTTAACAAATAGGCATTACATCTTTGAGAAGGGAGTTGTTAAACTTATTTGGTGAGCTTAGTATTATCTATTATATTCCTAACAAGAACCAACTACATATTAGTCTCTCCTCTTTCCTCTCAAGCTTAATCTAATCAAAGCCATGCTAGAGTAAAGGAAAGCAACTTTCTTCTTTACTATTTGACAGCCAACTGCCTCTCCAAATGAGAGAAAACAGAGATAATGAAGACATCACTTAAGTATTGCAAAAACTCTATGCAAAGGAGGTTTAAGTCTTAGGATGTTTCTTACCAAGTCTATGAGTTTGGTAACCGGAACTTCTCGGATTGGTCTTTTCATTCGGCACAAAGCCTCCAAGGATGTGCCAAAACAACTTGGGAGGTAATTTCCAGTGATGGTCAAGAAGTAATCTTTGCCTCGATCCAGGTGAAGGACAAGAATATCTTCAATCTTATCTTCTCCAGAGTTCAGGATGGTCACAGAGTCTTTGCTGACATACACATCAAGAGAAATGTCCACTGTCTCATCTGAAATGTAAGAGATGATACCTGGTAATAGAGAAACCTCCAGTGGGAAAAAGAAAAGGGTATGAGACCAACAGAACACTTGTCCTCTGAAAAATCATTAAGGAACAAAGGGGAAGAGACTGGGCTCACAAAAGAAGTATCACCAATATAATGACAGTAAAGGTAAGAGACATGTGGTTAGAAAACAGGAAGTTAAACCAGAGGAATGGAAGTCATGAGGAGATAGTACCTCACCAGCAGAGACAATGGTAAAGGGAAAACTCACTTGGCTCCAAGTAGCCCTCAAAAGGTTCAGCCCGAAGCCATGGCTTGCAGTACTGGCTGTCATTAAGCTTAGGGATGAAAGAAAAATGGCAGGGAACCTGTCCATTGTTGGTGATCTGGAACTTCTCCTTTTGTAGTTGCCGAAACTTCACATTCTCAAACAAAAACTGGGGAATAACAGACAGACACAAACATGCATCACTAGTAGGGGAAGTAAGTCAGTTGGATTATTCCATAGAGGGTATGAAGAATAAGGTAATTATTAACCAGGTGTGCAACTGCCATATACATTCACCATCTGAGCCAACTTCATAATACTACCCACTTTTATATATTATTATACTCACACCAGCAGAGAAGGAGATAGGTGGCTCTTGCTACTTATGTGCTATTGAGATCATTCCTGGGATGCTAAGAGGGTAACCCAACCTTGGTCCAGGGCATTCATCCTATGACCAAGTCCTGGTTTCTGAGATATTAATTAACTAGCAACTCTGAAAAATTAAGTAGGTACAGCTAACAACTGAGGGCTTACTATGTGCCTGTAGTCATATTTCTCCTAAACAACAATGCTGGCATTGGAATGGAGGCAATCTGATTCCAGCACACACTGTCTTAACTACTTTCATGTTGCTTTTTCTAAGTACTATGGTTTCCTCTGTGTTAATCACAATGGGAAGTAAATGGGGAAGCCGGGTACTTTTGCTCACCTCCCTCCTACTGAGTTCTAAAGAAGGAAGAAAGTCATTCTCCATTCTGTCCATGATGCGTACGCTATCTTCAAAGACTTTCCGATACCTTCGTTCATCTACAACCTTCACCTGAAAGAAAATGAACTCTCCCTTTAGTCTTACATGATTCTAGCTCATCTCACTTTGAGATTACCTAACAATTTAAAACTGGCCATTACACTAATCATTTAAAATAAACTGAAATGCAAATAACACTTTCAAATACTTTCTGATACCTCACTTCATCCACAACTCTCACCTGAAAGAAAACTTCTTTTAGTTTTACGTGCTTTCAATGTCTTTATCTCTTTAAAAGTATTTAACAATTTTTTAAAAAGTCACTAAAGCACATATACATTGAACTAAGCATTATATAAACACATACTTTAAAAGTAAGGTTAATTGGCTAACATCCTCGAAAAATTAAATTTGTACGTTAAGAAGCTTAACAATAATAAATATTTAGTTAAGAATATATATAGTTTTTGAGACAGAGCCTCATTCCGTCAACCTGGCTAGAGTGCTGTGGCATCACCATAAATCACTGTAACCTCAGACTCCTGGGCTCAAATGATCCTCTTGCTTCAGCCTCCCAGTAGGTAGAACTACAGGTAGATACCCCCATGCTCAGCTAAGTTTCTACATATTTTTGGTAGAGACAGGGTCTCACTCTTGCTCAGACTGGTCTCAAACTCCTGACCTCAAGTGATCCTCCTGTCTTGGCCTCCCAGAGTGCTAGGATTAGCCACAAAGCCTGGCCCAAATACTTGGTAAGAATATTTTCCTGCTCCATTGTTAAGTCATTTGGTTGTAGAGAAAATGTGATGGTTGTGGTAAAAATGATTTCATGCATTGCACAAAATTGACTGTTAAAATATACTCATTACTGTTTGTAATGATCATCATAAAATAGTGAAATAGTATAAAATATGATTGAAGAATTTAACCTATTAGCTACTAGGCACAATGCCAAGAACCATAATATCATTGCTCATATTATATAATAGCAAAGGCATGTTAGTAAATGGAACCTATGGTCATTTTAGAAAACAGCTGGCACAAAGTGTCCTAGACTAGAGTAAAACCATGATGACAGACAAATAAATCATCTCAGTGACTTTGATCACAAAATTTCCCACCTGACAAAGCACTTTCAGCTTCCTGATACAGCTATGTTTTTTTTGTTGTTGGTTTTTTTTGTAGTTTTTAGCCGGGGCTGGGTTTGAACCCACCACCTCCGGCATATGGAGCAGGCGCCTTACTCCTTTGAGCCACAGGCACGGCCCAATACAGCTATGTTTTTAAATATTAGAACTCCATCCAAACTGACACCAAAGATTAACATAGTAAACATAGAATTTTAACTTGGGACATAAGTTTCTTTTTAAAAAACAGAAAACTTAATAAAAATCCATGCCAAAAAAATAAAAATATTGATGTATGCAGCAAAGGTTTTAAGCAGATGTAGAAAATAATAACATCAAAGCTGAATCAAATATTTCAGACTTTTACATATTTGAACTACAAGAACTAAGAATCAAGCAATCAATCCCTTTAGTGTCACCAGGGTCTACACTATAGTGTTAGGTTAAGATGAATTTCATATACAATTTTTTACTTCTAAATCTTTTACTTTTCACTAAAGTGTTAGGTTAAGATGAATTTACTTCCATGTATTTTATATGTCTTTTTTATTTTCACAATCTGTAAGGCTACCAGATCAAGGAATATTTTTTTTCTGATAGTTGAGAATACCAAGATACAAATGATCAACAAACTTGCTCACTGTCATAGTTAATACCAAAGGTGACTTACTGATGGCTAGTGTTAAGACTTTTTCCAAAATACCAGGTACATGACAGAATAAACTTGGATATGTCTTAAAAGCGTAGCTGCCTTGGCCTATTAATCACAATCTCCAGGAGAAGGGCCCATGTATCTCCACTTTTTTTAAAGCTCTTAATTCTTATGTCCACTGAAGTCTGAAAACCAATGCAGCAGATCGCAGTAGGAAGTGCAAGTGAAACTGTCTCAGGTTAATTTCAGCCAGCCCACAGCAAGTCTTTTGAAATTAAGTGGCCACAGTGCACTTGGCTCCTTTGTTAACAGTCATTGGTGCCAATGGTGGTGAAAATGTAATGTGGTTTTTAAAGCCACTAATCATAGCATGCCCAAGAGTCCAAAATATGGAGTGGTTACTCAATGAAATCAAACCTTTCCTCTGTGGATTATTATGATCACAGCACTTACGGCATATCAAGGATAATGAGAGGGGAAAACCCCAAAGAATTTTACCACCTGATATATCCATTTCAGAAAAGGAAATTACTGACAAAATTAGGAATTCAGAAAATAGTATAAGCTAGATCTGTATGTAATAACATGTATAGTGCTCTAAGACACACCACTGAATTTAAAAAGTTACAGACCAACACATATGTATGAAACAATTCATGATATATACATACCTACATACAAAACAATACTGTCTATGGGTAAACATAAAAGCACATTTAAAGGTCAAGAACTGCACTGTTTAATACAAGATCTACTAGCCACATAGGAACATTTAAATTGAAATTACTTAAAATTAAATACAATCAAAAATCAGGCCAGGCCTGGTGGCTCACACCTGTAGTCCTAGCACTCTGGGAGGCTGAGGTGAGTGGACTGCCTAAGCTCATGGGTTCAAGACCAGCCTGAGCAAGATCAAGATCCTGTCACTAGGCTCGGCGCCTATAGCTCAACCAGCTAAGGCGCCAGCCACGTACACCTAAGGTGGCGGGTTCGAATCCCCAGCCCGGACCCGCCAAACAACAATGACGGCTGCAACCAAAAAATAGCCAGGTGTTGTGGCGGGCGCCTGTGGTCCCAGCTACTTGGGAGGCGGAGGCAGGAGACTCGCTTGAGCCCAGGAGTTGGAGGTTCCTGTGAGCTGTAATGCCACGACCCTCTACCCAGGGGGACAGCTTGAGGCTCTGTCTAAAAAAAAAAAAAAAAAAGATCCTGTCACTAAAAATAGCCAGTGTTGTGGTGGTTGCTTATAGTCTCAGCTACTTGGGAGGCTGAGGAAAGCGAATCTCTTGAGCCCAAGAATTTGAGGTTGCTATGAGCTATGACGCCAGGGCACTCTACCAAGGGCAACAAAATGAGACTCTGTCTCAAAAAAAAATCAGTTTTCAGTCACACTAGCCACAACAATCAATAGCCATCTGCATCCAGTAGCTACTGGACTGTATAACATAGATATAGGACAGTTCCATCATAACAGAAAGGCCTATTGGATAGCATTGATATAAAAAGACAAACTCACAAGGCTGAGGAGTGGGAGTTTAAGTAAAGTTGAAGATAGGAGATAGCATAAAACTTAAAAGAACTTGAGCCTTACCTGTAAATTCTGCTTTTAAATTTTTTATTTTAAAGAAAAAGCACTTTTGAATTGATGTGTAATTTAAAAATTATTAAAAACTAGAAAGGTAAATCTTTATTAGAGATATATAAAAATATATAGGAAGCCTGGAAACGTTTTAAGTATCTCATGGGGAGCTCTGGATTGATGTGTATGGAGTATTAAAAATATTCCAAAGTTCTGAAAAGAAATACACACATGAAAAAGCCAAGTATAGCTAATAGACCAAGGAAGTTATTGGTTGAGGAAAGATATCCCCTTAAAATGGGCTAAGAGAATTCAAATGAAGAAAAGAGGGCAGTCCCCAAGTACAAACTAGAAATTAGATGGACAATAAGTAGTATCTGAAGGTATATTTAGTCAGTAAGTACCCTAGAACTGTAGTCCCCAACCCCCAGGCCACAGACCAGTACTAGTTGTGGTCTGTTAGGAACTAGGCTGTGCAGCATCACTTTCTGAGCTCTGCCTCTCCTGTCCCATCCCTCATCACCCCATCTTCCCAGTACAAGGAAAAATTGTCTTCCATGACACTGGTCCCTGGTGCCAAAAACGTTCTGGTTTGTGGCCTGTTAGGATCCTGGACGCACAGCAGGAGGTGAGAGAAGTGGACAAGCAGCAAAGCCTATTGCTTGAGCTCTGCCTCCAGTCCCATCCCATCCCCTCTCCAGAATCCTTGGAAAAATCATCTTCCATGAAACTGATCCCTGGTGCCAAAAAGGCTGGGGACTGCTGCTTTAGAACTATAGAGGCATTGCAGGGTACTGGAAAGCTGGGAGTTAAACAGAGTTAAGATTTGCATCTTCACTCTCCTTCTAGTTGAATACTCTTAAAGAAGTTATTTAAACTTGCTGATTATCTACCTGCTCATCTATTAAATGGGAAATATAGCTGTGCCTAGGTATATGATTCCAGGAATGCCTATATATAAGCTATCTGTGCATATTCGAGCCTTGTGGTTGGTTCTGAGGAACCCAAGGATACAAACAGTCCACCCTCATTATATTCAAGTTTTGTATCTCATAAACACTTATTTTCTGTCTACATTGGGTTGGAAAAAGTCTGCATGTAAGTGGAAACAAGCAGTTTAGACTCCTGTTGTTCAAGGGTCAACTATATTTAAATCAAAGCGTTGCGAGGAGTGAGTGAGTTGTGAGCAAATTGCCTAACACAGTCCCTGGCACACAGATACTAGTTTCTATCTGAAGAACACTTTCTTAATGATAATTATTATGATTTTAGTGATGATTATCTTGATAAAATTTAAAATCTATTCTAAGACCAAAAATGAATTTTGTTCTTAAATGAAAAGCCACAAAGTCATTCTTTAAAATAGCAGCAGGATAAGACATGTTGGTGTTACCTGTATCAGAAGCCCCCCCCCCAAAAAAAAAGACCCAACATCTACATAGGGAAAAGAAAGTTGTCCTACTATGTTCTTCATGTATTTGAACTCGTTAATCCTCATAAGTAGGTATTATCATTATCCAAATTTTATAGAGAAGAAAAGTAAGCCACAGGGACATTATATAAATTGTCTGTAGTTGTACAATTAGAAATTGATTGAGCTAGGATGTAAATCCAAACAGTCTACTACAAAGTCCATCCTATTAAACACTACACTGTGTATAGTAGAACCTCCACACTTGACCATTTCTCTACAATGACTACCTTAAGCTGATCTAATTTTCATAGGCCAGACATGCACCACATGTACTCAACACAGGTTCTGTATGTTGACCACCTCCATATGTTGACCAGTTTGTTATAGTCCCTTGAGTAACCAATTTATAGAGGTTCTATTGTATGTTCTGAAAGATTACATCACCACAGGTCTGGAAATTGCAAGAAATAAATGAACTGGCTGTAATAAATTAAATCAGCAGGATTACAAGATATAACCTGCACACTAATAACACACAGTTAAAAAATACAATGGGAAAAATGTTTACAATGGAGACAAAAAATAATTGGCTATTAATTCAGCCCAAGATTCAACAAAATTAAATAAAAATAAAAAGTATGCTCCTGGACAGTAAGATTTCACTATGGTAGGGATGATAATACATCTCTTAAGGCAACATACAGACTTGGTTGTATTCTAATCAGTCTGTGCCTTTGTTTCTGCTGTCTCCATCCCTCTACCAGAACCTCTCACTTGTTCTCTTTCTCAGAGCTTCCCTTTCTTACTATTTGTCTGATGAAAAGCTAGCTTTTAATGCAGGATTGTTCCACCTGCAGCCTGCAGCCTGTAGACCCCATGGCCCATTTTATAAGAGCTTTCCTTATTTAACCTTTTTTGGCTAATCAGCTTTTGTTAGTGTTTGTGTATTTACGGTGTGGCCCAAGACAACTCATATTCTTCCAATGTGCAACAGAGCTTGAAAAAAGATTGGACACCTCCATTTTAAGGTCTCATTATGCATACTGATATGAGGAAGCTCAGGTTACCAGCAAAGTACTATGTACCATGAAAAACATCAGGGTCACTAAAAAAGGCCTGGAGTGTTAAAAGCTATATGGACAGCATTTGGGAAGGCTGAGGGCACTAACTTCTCAGCACTGAAAATGATTATTTGGTTATAGAACATTTATGGCTCACTTGATTACTGATCTGAGTCAAAATAATGCTCTAGTAATAGAGATTTAGCACACAAATGAATGAGCAAGCGTTTACCCCAATATGGAAGAGGGCGCTAACAGGCTTGTGATCACTGGTTTTCAATTCCATGTGACTCCGATAGTTAAGTTGATTAACATTTGTTCCTCTCCAAAGAATTCGGTCACACCAGGCTGGAACTCGACATTTCCCACTGAAAATTAAGAAATGAGTCATAAAGAATACATACCACATAAGAAACTACTACACTGGTTTAGACCTGAGTTAGGCCCCCTTTCACACGCTCCCAAAGAGCTGTGTAATTGTCCTTCCCTAACAACTACCTTCCCTATTATGCTGCAAGCTCAGTGAAGAAACTATAGTCTACCCACTAAACTCCTAGCGTCTAGCATGTTATCTGGTGCAAAGTAGCTGCTCAATGAATAGTTATCTAATGAATAAGTAGATCTAATATTAGAATTGCATCTTCAAACAGTATCACCACAGGGGAAAATACAATAGTACCTTTTAAAAACATCCTCAGAAGGCAGTCCTAAGAGGGAAATTTATAGCACTGCAAGCCTTCCTCAAGAGAACGGAAAGAGAGGAAGTTAACAACTTAATGGAACATCTCAAGCAACTGGAAAAGGAAGAACATTCCAACCCAAACTTGATAGAAGAAAAGGAATAACCAAAATTAGAGCAG